GATGCATGCTAGCCTTCAATGATTGGAAGCAAAAATCAAGGAGCTGCAGGTTAATGCTGGTCAAAATTGACTAAATGGTCTGTTGGTACATGGGAACTATCAGAATGGCTTTTGCCTATGGTCAAGACAGGTTTGCTTCTGTTATCTATTTTGTGGTTGTGCTACTAATGTTGCCATGTTTGGTGTCGTGTTTGCAAAGGGCCCTGCAAAGGACGACCCAGGTGATTTTCCTAGCACAAATACAAAAAGGGGTTACGCGTGTGTTTTTAAATAGCTTAAGATATGCAATTTTACAAAATAGAGCAGCCACTGATTTTTTGCTTTTAGCCCATGGGCACGGGTGTCAGGATTTTGAGGGAATGTGTTGCATGAATCTATCTGGTCATTCACAAGAGCATATACAAACAGTTACAAGAGCTTAAGGAATGCATGCATCATGTAAAAGAAGGATCTGTGGGGTTGGATGCCTGACTGGCGTCTTGGGGAGTAGGAGGTTGGCTAAAAGATATACTTAAACAAGGGCTGTCTATACTCATTTTCATTCTGGTTTTATTACTTATTATTCTGTGTATTTTTAGGTGTCTTCAGGATTGTATTATTCGTAGCTTTGATTCTATGCTTAAACGGAAGGGGGGAAATGCTGGGGTCTTGGCAGTTTTAAACGAATATGCTGAGTTCTGAAAAGGCCAGGAGTTGACCGTTAGACAAACAAGAACAAGTTTTCAGTTACAAGAATGCAGAGGTCAGCAGAAAGCAATATGAGAGAAACGGTGATAACAGAAACTTTTCCCCGGAATGTGTGTTTTAAGAACACCAATCAATGGACTGTCTGAGGCGCGTGAACAATGTGTGCTGACCAATCATAATAGCATGCTGTGCTCGTGATTGCGTGTCCAGGGCTCAAAAGATTATATATTGTGTAGCCTTCTGATAATAAAGCGGATTTGAATCTGCATCTCATAGATGTGTCGTTCTTTCCCACTCGCGTGTAAGCCTGCAGCAGAAGAGGGTCAGCACAAGACACACAGACACCAACTCTGAGGAATAAGGGTCTAATTTCTCCACCCAAAGCCTGGCCAGGGCCTACGGGGCAAACCAAGGGACTCAATGTGCACCACCTGCTGCCAAACAAGGCCAGACATCGACTGCCATGGCCTTGACTGGGATCTAAACACGGAAGGATAAATACATTCATATTTCACACATTTCACAATCGTGCGTATTTTATTAATGAACAAATACAAATATTTTTTCACAAATGAGTGGATACAAATATATCTTACACAGATACACCGCCCTATCCCACTACAATTTCACTGATGCTCGTACACAGTTTTATCTCCTGAGTGGATACGCAGAGAAATAGAACATTAAGTTGGAAGGTTCATCCAGAGCCAACTTTGGCTCAGGGAATGTTGTTCAGGCCTCAGTACTTCAACTGCAGAGCCCTGTGGAACCAAGAGGCCACTGTGACACTGTGGGGCCTCGTGGAACCAAAGGCACCCTGTGATCCTGTGGAACTTCATGGAGATAAAGGAACCCCGGGACACTGTGGAACCTCATGGAATCGAGGGCCACTATGACATTGCAGGGCTTCTTGGAATCAAGGGGCCCTTGTGACACTGTGGAACCTCATGGAACCAAAGGGACCCTGTACCTGTGACTGATGGACACTCAAGGACCATTATCCTGACTGAATCTGGACTCTAATGGGCACCAACACAGGATCAGTTCCCCATGGATATTTCCCACATTCTGAACTACCCTTTTCATTGTATAAGTTTGTGATTTTAGCTTCTCTAATAACCTTGGATGTTCAAGTTTATTCTCAGCAGACAGAAAACTGTGTGTATGTCCAGATGTGAGAGAAGGAGCTGCTCAAGCAGAACTGGGAAGGACTTTTGTCTCCCCACATGGCTGTGGAAGCTCTGGGAGGAGACTCCCAAATTCCCTGTTTGGGAATAAACCAGTTCCGGACACAGAGGAACCAACTGTCCTGGACAGTGCAGTGAAAAATAAATCTGCTGCAGGTAAAGCTGCAACACAATATGAACCTCCAAAGTGAAAATCATGAAATGGTTTCTCTTTTTTATATTTATAGGACAATGTTTCTAGGATTGCAGCGTGGTTATTTACCCCTGGATTAGCCAGCTGTCCTAACAGGGCCTTGCAACTAACAATGATAAAAGAAAGAAAAGAGACCAAAGTCCCTTTTCCCAAGGGCCACTCCAATAGAACACACCCAGAGCAAATGCCACCTGAGCCTTGGAAGAGAAGCTCACCCCGAAAGCCAATGCAGGTTGTGACACTGAGAACAAACAGCAGGAACTGCTGGATTTGTTCTCTGTTTCCCACTCATTCCAATGAAAGCATTCAAATGATGGGACTTCCAACACCAAACAGATTGTCCAGTGGTCTCCCTCCAGCTGGAGTGATGCTCCTTTTAGAAGGAAAAGCAGCCCAAACTCTCACAGATCCACAAATGCTCTTCCTGGTCACTCCCCTGGGGTTGAGACATCTGCCTGTTGTCTCCTATGGTGGTTTATATCAATGTCTACTTAATCCTTGTTTCTTTGGCTGGTTTTGATAGAATTACTTTGATACACTGCACTGTACTACTTTATGCTGTATTATACCCTACTAGTAGGTTTTTAGTCTTTTCACCCTGCGGTAAATCATTCTGATTAAGATTTTTCATCTGTTTTCACTTGTCGGTTCATTTGTCATAATAAATAATTCATTTTATATAAATACCTCTGATCTGCCATCATTAAAACCTGCAAGACAAAGTGATTTAATCACGCCTCTGGAATTCCTGTAATTTAAACTGTTAGCACAGCCCGAGGCTAAGATTGGATCCAGCCACACTCAGGCTCCTCTCTGAGAAGGAATTCAGAAAGCCAGGGGATCCTTTCTGTACCTCGTGACTCACCAGCAGTTGAGCTTCTTTAAAGGCTTTGTCTAAGCCTTCCACTCCCACCCAGGACACCCCCACACTCACACACCCCCCGACCCTGCAGTC